GATAATGACAGTTAAGTGTGGTGCAGAGGCTGGGACAACTGAGCTGCAGGTGCCAGCCTAGTGCCATGCCCACAGCAGGGCCAACACAAGCTCCCAGCCCAGTCCCTTCTCTTGGGATTCCTCCCATAACTTGTTATTTTACTTAGGGTTAATTAGGGAAGGACAGTGGGGAGCAACATCTAAAGGCAAATTAATAGTGGCCACTCTGCAGCCCGTCTCCTGCAGGGAACCCTCATTTCCAATCACAATGGACCTCCCCAAAACCAAGGGAGCCCAAAGGGCATGCAGGGTTGGGACCGGCCCCATCTGGAGCTAGCTCCCCACCCCTGAGCCTCCTGCTTCCCACACTGTACATCCAATCCCTCAGGGGTGGGGGAGGTGGCACAGGCATGGCCAGGTGTGGCCAGGTGAGGTGCACTGGTGAGCAGAAAGGGACCAGCCCCACGCTAAGCCGGCTGGTGGTGGTTTAGATGTGATGTAGGAAGGCAGGCCCAGCCAATGTTGCCAAAGCTTCTGATTTCTCAAGACAAGACTGAAAAAGCCATTGGTAACATGGAACCTTCCAATTTTTAAAAATAACAACTTAAACGGGAAAAACGCATGTGGGCCTAATAAAGCCCCTGGAGAATGCGCAGGGCTTTGCACCTGTGCGGTTCCCTGCTGCAGCCCCAGCACCTATACGGGTGTCAGGCACAGAACAGAGGCTTCACGCAGCTTCGAGGAACGTGCAGGGGCCATATCCCACCTCCGCCTCAGACACCTGGCAAACTCCCAGGCGCCGGACCATGGCTGTCCCACTCTGTAGACAAGACAGTGTGGTGTTACAGCACGCGGGCGTGAAGAATGAGGGGAGGTCCCGCCTCCACCCTTATAGGGCTCTGTCCTGTAAACCACGTGAGAGGTGTGCCTTGCCTGGGGGCTGTCTCAGGTTGTTGTACCCCACGAGGAAGTGCTCATGACAACAGACATCCGCACAGCCTCCTTATTCTGCCCCACACATTCAGTGGTTGGTAAAGATCTTTAGAGTAAATACATGGAAAAGAGGGAGGGGAGGCTCTAATCAACAGGCCTGCTCCCTCCTTTGGAGAAGCCGACTAACCCGGAGGCCTGGCAGGGTCAGCCCACCCCCAGAGGGCTCCGGGAAGGACTTGGCTAGAGTTCCAGCCTTCATGAAACAGTGTGTTCATAACTGATAAGCTTAAAAGCAAGTGACAATTTTTCAACCCACCCTTGCTCCAAGGACAGTGAATAAACACAGCATCGGCTCCAGGTTCCCACTGAGTGTGTCTAGAAGGAGAGGGGAAGGTGAAACCAAGCTTATGTGCCCCTAGAAATCAGTGTGGATTCTTCAACACCTTCTTCTTCAGGGTTGAACTAGGATTCCCCACTCAGAAATCCCAACTCACAGGGGTGCCTAGGTGGTTCAGTCGGTTAAGTGTCTGACTCCTGATCTGCCTCGGGGTTGTGAGTTCAAGCCCCGCACTGGGCTCCACTCTGGGCATGGAGCCTCCTTAAAAAAAAAAAAAAGAAAGAAAGAAATCCCAAATACGGTCTTCCCTTTATTACGGGTTTCAAGGCTACTTCAGGTGCCCCCCACACAAGGCAACGGGCCTGACTCCACAGTAATTATAAATGGACTGTGGGGAGGAAAGAAGGAGTCTGCTGGGCTTCAGGAAAGTTCTATGTCTTGATGTGGATGGTATCTAGACGGGTGGATACATGTGTGGAAATTCCCTGAGCTGTGCCCCAAGATCTGTTGCACTTTGTGCCTTCATGAGAAATGCAGCAGCAGCACGCATGGGGCACTTCTCAGAAGCCCGGCACTGCGTACGTGCTTATCCTGGGTTCCAAATAACATAACAGTTAACAGTACAGCCCCTGGACCTCAACAGACCAGGGTTAAGATCCCTGTTCCTCCACCCCTCCACCTCTGATTCTGTCCCCTGCATGCTCCTCAAACTCTGAGCCTCTGTCCCTCTACTGGAAAACAAAGATAATAACCGGTAGAATTAAGCCAGGTATGCAAGCCTAGCAAACAGTAAGCCTCAAAAATGTTGGCTAGTTACAACCATTCAACCTTCAACGGCCCCAGGACCCTGGTGTTTGGGGCCTACTTGAACGTATGAGAAAAGTGCCCCCTTCCTTCCAACAGTGCTTCCCAGACTGCAGACATTTCCACATCACCTTCTCAATTTTTTCCCAAGTCCGTGTACCACCTGACTGTTACTTTTCTTAACACTTTAAATTGATCACAATTTTTTACTTAAACAAGTTTACTTTTTAAAAATGTTACGTAACCATCATACATGGAAAACCAGTATCACTTGCCAGAATGCATTTTTTAAAATAGCAATTAAAATAAAAAGCATTTGTCCACCTGAAATCATCTTGCCTACCTCATTTACTTTGTATGGATTCAGGAGGCAAAGAAACTCAGTTTGTGGGGCGGGCATGGGGTAGGGAGGGCAAGGGGGTCTCATCTGCCTAAAATGACGGAGAAATTTCCTGAGCCCTTCAGCAGCCCTCCCCGCCCGCACAGAAGTGATTTTCGTTGGTTTAACCAAGTGGGTTTGGCAGGCCCTCTATTTGGCAACATCCCGGTTAACCGGCCATTAGTGAATCTCGGGCTCCAAAGAGATAAAGCTGCATTTAGAAAAAAACATATATTCACTAATGGCAATTGTTCACTAATTCAAACACCCACTTACCCCCTTTTTGGCATGAATGAAGGGAGCCCGCCTCTGCCTCTCAGACAGCAGCGCCAGGACCTGGGAGCCAGGAACTCAGTGTCGGGACAGCACTGCAGCCCAGCCCCGGCTTCAGGGCTGAGCCCGGACCCTCACCGTGTACAGCTTCCCTAAGGCACAGGGGCAGGAAAGGAGTCGAAAAAGTAATAATGGCACTCTACGTGTGCACGTCCTCAGTTGTATTTCCCTCCAGATTTCTTCCAAAGGGGACCGAAGGAGAGAGAAGGGGAGAATTCCCCAACCCCACACAAGAAAAGGACATCTTGAAATCTGTGGCAGAGGGCACTGTAGTATTAAGAGGACCTCGGGGGAACAGGCAGTGGGCATATTTTTTCCGGGGAGTCAGTGAGTTTCATGTGCACCCATTCATTCATGCAGCAAATATTTACTAAGCACCTCCTGTTCCGGGCAATGGGGGACCCAGGAGTGAAAAAAGCAAAGTCCCTGCTCTTAGCTCACATTCTAGGGGTGGGAACGGTCAGTAAATTGTTTACTACATAAGCCAGATAATATCAGTTAATGATAAGTGCCATGGAGGTAATAAATCAGGGTAAAGTAATAACGGCTGGAGTGAGCTGCTCAGATTGGATGGCGAGGGGAGTCCTTTTAGAAGAGATGACATCTGAGCTGACACCCAACAATGAGGAAGTACCACTCAATTAAGTCACCATAAACAGCACATGTAAAGGGCCTGGGGCAGGAACAAGGTTGGCATGTTCCAGAAACAGAAAGGCCTTTGCACCAGAAACACAATGACCACAGTGAGTGAGAGGCAAAGTGGAAGTAAGGTCAGAGAACAGCTTCAGAGTCTGGACTTCATTTAAATTATAATGGGAAGCCTACGTAGAGATTTCTACAGTGAAGAGACTTGATTTTACTAGAATTTCTAAAGCTCCACTCTGGCCACCATGAGAAGAATGGATAAGGAGGACAAGAAGCAGGGACACCAAAGAGGAGATGAAAACAGGGTTCCAAAGGAATCAAAAAAAATCCTCATTTCTGCCTCAAATTCTCTCCCTGAACTCTATGAGTCTAACTTCTCAGGTGCTCAGTGAGGCTTAAAATGGGAAGCTGGCTAAAGGGAGACGTTTGTTCTTTAAAGCAACGACAGCCAACCAGACGGCATTCAAACATCGGACAAGAGAGGGTAAGTAACAGGCCCTTCCACAAAGGGCAGGACCCAGCCACCTCCGAAGAAGAGAACAAGCAGCCATCTGCTCCGGGGCCAGGGAGCAGATCAGCTCCCACCGTGTGCCCCTTCCAGCCTTGGGGCTCTGGGACTCGAACGCCAGGATTCCTGCACACTCCACAGGCTCAGGCCCCCGATCCAGCCAGCTCATAGGCCTGTCACATGCTCTCCCATGGCAGAATGCAAGTATCCTCTATGACACTAGCCCTCAGACTCCAAGGACAAATCAATCAATTGCCAACATCACAAAAACAGACAATCAAATAAACTCCAATGCAAGGTCTTGCTCAAAAAACAAACAAACCCAAATGTGATAGAGCCTCTAAAACTAAATACCGACTTACAGTAGCATAGGGGACTGCAGAACATGTTAGGTGACACCAGGAGATGTCATCCACAAAATCCTTAATATGGGCAACTCCCCAAGATGATCAAATTTCTCCAATAAAGAAATTATAATGAAAAAAGAAAGTTGGAGGAGAAAACTCATAAGGTGACATATCACCAATTACACTGACTTTTTGAATCCTGACTCAAAAAAAAATTTGAGGGGCGCCTGAGTGACTCAGCCGGTTAAGCACCTGCCTTTGGCTCAGGTCAAGATCCTGGGGTCCTGGGATCGAACCCACACTGGGGCTCCCTGCTCAGCCTGCTTCTCCCCGACCTTTGCCCCTCCCCCACCCACCCTCCCCCCCACACACTCACATGTGCTCTCTCTCTCTCAAATAAATAAAATCTTTAAAAAATTTTTTGAAAAACTTGTGAGACAATTAGGGGAATGTGAACACTAATTAAATATGATATTAAGAAATTACTGTTAGTTCAGGGATAATGGTAGTGTTAATATTTTCTTAGAAAAATTCTTTAAGATATATACTGAAATCTTTAAGAACGAAATGATATCATGTCTGGGATTTACTTCAAAATAATCTTGTGGGGGAGTGGGTTGGTAAATAAATGAAACAAGATTGGCCATGAGTTGATAATGGCTCAAACTGGGTATCATATTACACTATTCTCGCTACTTTTGTGCATGTGTGAAAATTTCCACAATAAAAAGTCTAAAAATAAATAAATAAAGCTAGGAATGAACTTTTTCTTGTGCAGGGGCCATGCTAATCTTCTCTGTATCGTTCCGATTTTAGTATATGTGCTGCCGAAGCAAGCACGGGATGAACTTTTTCTAATAACCCCCTAGATATTATACCCCACAACAGAGGGATCAGATTCGTTAGATTCACTCTTCTGCCCCCCCCCAGAGCCTGCCATGAGGGGTTTGCTGAATAATGACTGAATTCATATTTTCCTCCTCACAAACCGCATGGTGGGAGTTGTCTTAAAATAACTACCCCCTGTAAGAAGTAGATGTCTTTTCAGTTATGCTAACCGACCTCCCTCCAGTTCAGATTGTCACTCTCAAGGCCACACAACTTCATCCACACCATTTGGAACATACATATTTTGATTGTTTCTCTGCCTTAACCCTTCCTACCAGAAGTACCTGTTTTCCACCTCAGAGGAAAGCATGCCCCCCCACCCACCCGTCCACTTCTACCATGACCAAGGTGGTGCTCAGGATCTTGCCCCAATCTGCCACAACTACAAGAAAGCAGGGTCTGAAAATCAAAGCACTTGAAAGGAGCTTCCCACTACAGTGGTCTCCAAAATGCCATCTGCAAGGAAGGCTTCATTCAGGTGCCTCCTTGGAACCATGCTCCAATCAACCCCCCCTTGCAAACACACCATTGTTTTTGCAGGAACCCAGGTGGTGGAGTCACTGGAAGATGGTCAGGAAGAGGCAGAACCTCCGGGTCATCCCACAACTCCCACACAGAGTCGTCAAGTAAACGCTGACGAGCACCACAGCCGCTTCTCCGGGAGGCAAACTGTGGCTGGAGCTTTCAGCAGAGTTCTCAGGACCTACCAGCAGTGACCTGCAGTCTTCTGGTTCTGGGCCCGTTTGAGATACCTGTGTCATTACCAGCCTCCCTGGCACACCTGCCTCCCCCAATATGCAATATACTTCTAAGGAGCCCGGGGAGGGCAGGAAGATGACAAGGACCCTGGGGCCATCCACTGCGAAGCCACACCGGACCACTTCATCCCTTAAGGCCAACAGCCAGGAGTGTTATCTGCATAAGCCTGTCAATTAAAGAAAGGTGCTGGGAAGATCGATGGATGGCTCAGGCCTTCTAGGAAGGATGAAGAAGGGGTCTGAGTTGGCCATGATGAGGGTGGGGAGGAAGCAGAGACTTAACACACTGAACACCCAGCCTGGATTCTGGGGAGCACATTAGAGAGGCTGGGAGCTGCAGCCTGCTCCAGCCCACCACCCCCACCCATCCACCCCACCCCCGACCCCTATGGCTGGTGCCCACAGGGCAAGGGTCAATAGTGAGCACTGCATTTCAGAGGCTTAAAGACAAAGAAACTCCAGATTACAGCAAGAAAAGCAAAGGTCATTTAGCACCAACATGAGATCAATCCCTCTCTCTCCTTGGGTAAGTTAAGTCTGTGGCCAAAGCAATCAGGATAACAAAAGCAACAGCAGAATAGGACGAAGGCAGGGGCTGGGAGGGCCTCAATGTCGGCTGCATTGCAGGGAAGGGCATAGTGCATCCAGGAGGAAGGACAAGATGCCATGAGCCATGGGCATCTTCCCCTTCCTGCCCTGTCCCCTGCCCAGTCCTTCCCTGTGCCTCACTGCACCTGGTTGCCTCCTGGGCGGGCTGTCAACACCAGACATCTTACCCTGCTTTCCAGGAGCACAAGCCCATAGAGAGGCGAATGGGAACAGTTCTGTCCAAATCCCTTCACCCTCATGTGGCACTTCACACCTCTCAGATGCATCTTCACCCACAATATCTCACTTCGGCCTTTTGTATGGACACAGAAACAGGCTCAGGGAGATTACATTGATACTACCATGTCATAGTCAACGGATAAGCCAGGACTGTGCAGGAACCTTCCACCCCACCATACACTCTATTCTCAGAAACAGGAACTGGTCTGAGGCAGCTGCCTGTCTATCAAGCACATCATCCTCCTCATTCCTCAAAACAGGCGCTGGTTGTCTCAGAACAGCCATCCCCTATCCCTCTGACTTTAGAGGTTTGGCTTAGTCATCCCCCCCCCCCCTACAGATAAAATGCTGAAGGACAGGGAATGAAAGAGAATCAAAGTCTAGGGACAAATGGGGCCCAGACCTGGAGCACTGGGCTCCAGAGTCCTGCTGGTAGCTTTTACTGCTAGACAGGTTTGTCCCCAGCATCAGCCATTCCCGACATCACTTGCAGGTTTTCTGCCACATTCTATACCATCTGTACTATTACTATTTCTATTAAATGGACTCATTCTTGTGACTTAATACGTTTAATTTAAAGTGAGGTTTTATATCACCAGCACAAAGAGGAAAATCAGTACCACTGACCCTAACTAGGAGAGAATCCTAAAAATAAATAGCACAAATACAACCTAAATTGTAGGCAGGCACTGTTCCCCACTTAAAGGCCCAGACCCAGAGGTCTGTTTTCTCTTTGTTATGAAAGAGAGATTAGCAAGTGTAAAAAAGGTGTTAAAGCCAGACTAGCACCAACCTGAAACTTTCCCCTTGAAGAAATCACATGCATTAGTAGAGAACTGAAAAGGGAAGAACCGTCTCACTAGGTGACTCAATGTTATTTCATGCTTAACCACCTGAAGTCATTTCACTGGCTAGTCACCTTAGCTATGGGAAACATCGAATCAGACTGCATCATAGGAAGGGGGACAAGAGGGATGGGGGACAGCCACACCACAGAACCCATGCCAGCTTCACAAAGTGCTCTAATCCACTGTCCACCACTCCACCCCCCATCAGGCACACCCAGCTTCTGGGCAAGCCCAGGGGTCACCTATCACCACCCAGGTATCTCTGGCTCCACTGCCCTTGTCTTAGCCCTTGTCTAATGCAGAGCACAGCACTAACCACTCCAAACTCCTCTGGAAATCAGGATCCAGCAGAGCCCCTAGAGTCACCCCAAATCCTTGCAATATCTCTGTGGACAGTTGGCTCTGATGAACCCCAGTTGCTAGGCAGCCTTGGGCTCAGGAACCCTGGCAGAGGAGTGTGTGCCAGCCTGGGTGAGCAGCTCCCTTGGGTCTTGCAGACATCAAGCCTGCAGCAAGGGACTGGAGCCCAGGAAGCTGCCCCAGAAGCTCCTTTGCCACCCCCAAACCCCCACCTCTTTACCCCACAGGTCATCCAGGGTATCTCTGAAATAGCTGGAGAGAACGAATTCCAACATCCAGGAGCAGACAATTAGTAGAGTAAACCCAAGAAAGGTGAAGATGCAAAGAGAAAAAAAAAATCCAAAGAAGGGGGGAGGGGGCTGTCAAGCCACCTCCAAACTTGCTCCTTGCCTGCCAACACTGTGCGCAAGGCAAGCCGATCCCGGCCTGGCGGGCACCTCGCGGGCTCAGCCAAGTTGCAGAGAAGCAAATAGCATCTCCAGCGCTTTGGGCCACTAGGGCTGAGCCAGGGGCTGTCAGCCGGGTTGGATCAATGCTACCCGTGCTGTAGTTTTCAGGAAGGGCGCTGCGATGGGCAAATGGGAACGAAATGGGCAAATGGGTATGGGGACGAAACACTTAGTGCCCCTCTGTTGCTGATGGATCCCGAAGGGCCCTCCCAGTCACCCTCCGACCCAGCCAAAGTCCTGCCTCGGCTTTCTCCCAACAGCCGGTGTCCCGGGCGATGCTCCTGAGTCGCTCCCCCGACGCGTGGAGCGGAGGTTTTTCCCAACCAACTCGGGGCCAAAGGCCCTTTTGGAAAAGTCTATCCAAAGAAAGCGGGGATTTAGCATGAGAGTGGAGGGAAGGGGGAGGCGGCACTGCCAAGCTTTACCTTTTCTCTTTATTCTGTTTTCGGGATTTGTGCAGGAGTCCGATGAGCACCACCGCGGCGCGGATCCCTGCCTTTCGGCAATGCATCCTCCCCGCGGGCTGGGACATGGCGAGGCCGCCGGCGGTGCCCGGCCGCGCCCTCGCCCGCCCGCAGCGCGCCCCCGTCGGCCCGGCTCCGCGCGCTCCGCGCCGCCCGCTCCCAGCCCCTGCGCCCCGGCCCCCGGCCGCCCGCCTCTCATGGGCCCCGCCCCGCCTAGGTGCGCCCCGGGGGTCAGGTGACCGGGCGCTCACTTCCCGGCGACCTTCAGCGTCTCCTCGGAGCCCGCCGGGCGGCCGGCGCCCGCTCCCCCAGCGCAGGCATTTCCAAGGCTCGCTCCGGGTGCGGCCCGGACGGGCGGCTCCGGGGCTCGGGCTCCGACGCGCCGCCCGCGCCGGGACCCCGCCCCGGCCCCGCCTCCCGTGCCCCGGCCCGTGCACCCCGGCTGCGGGCGTTTCAGGCGGCCCGCTGGCGCTCAGCGCCCCGGGGGGCTCGGCGCCGCGTTCGCCCTCTGCTCGGCTCCCGGGCTCCCTCCCTTCCCCTCCGGGCGGGCAGCCGCCACCGCCCCCCTTCTCTCGCCTCTCCCTCTCCGTCCCCTCCTCTGCGCTCCTCCGCCCCCGCCTCCGCTGGCGGGGCCCCGGGCTCCCTCCCCAGGCAAAGGCGGCTGACGCGCTCTCCTAGCCCGGCCCGCCGGGATACTTCTCCAATGCTGTCACTGTCTTTAAAACACAGGGAGAAAAAACATGCACCGAGACGAAACGCGCGTCCTCAATCTGTGCGAAACTGCCCGCGTACACCGGCACCGCCGCGGGATCTCTCCCGGCCCAGGGCCAGGCAGTTAGAGAGGGCACCCCGCGCCCAGCGCCCGCCCTCCCCGGCCTGAGGCTCCCTGGCGTTTTGACTCAGTGGGTTGCTACCTCCTACCTTTCCCCAAGTCCGGGGAGGGGCGGTCCTGCGAGGCTGGAGGGGGCTACTCCAGCATCGGCGCCTACCTGGGCTGGGGTCAGTCCCCGGTTAACCCTTGTTTCCCCTGCCCTGGAAGTTTGACACAACTCGGGGTCAATGATCAATTTCACTGAGGCTACACCTCTGCCTGGCGTCCCGGGTTGCCAGGGAGACGAAGGGGCGCCCCCACCCCACCAGCACCTAGCGCCCGATTGCTGCGGACTTTCTCCTGCATACCCCACGGCAAGCTTCATCTTCACTTCAGAACCGAAAGACATAAGATCACTGGCCAGCTCGTAGGGA